TATATAGTGGCCGTTTAATCCACACACCTTAACCAATGGCTAATTCCTCATTCTTCTACCTCTGACGAAAAACAAAGACCTCATATGAGCCGTATCCTTAAAGGATCTGAAGCCCTGGTAAATTAGAAATTAATTTCTAATTTGGCTGTTTTTCAAATTCATTTCTAATTTGGTTAGCTTCTCCTTGGTTGTTTATATTGCTCAAAGCTGGGCTGTTTCAAATGCTGGACTGCTTCAGATTTACTGTAGACAAAAGACGTTTTACATCCCGAATGTCAAAAGTGTATGTTAATGGAGTCACAGACATATTTATTAATTAGGTGTCCCAGTATACCGAAACTGAACTGAGCCAAGACAGCCTCCAGGATAAAATCACCAGAAATCCAAGCAGCTTTCAGGACTGAGCAGTGACTAATCGCATTCCTTAAGGGCGGTGTGTTGTGACCTAATCTATCATCACTGTGAAGCGCAGATGTCTCAGCCCAACAGCTTCAGTCACATTCACTAGCTACGCGGTGCACAATAAGGAAAGGTTTTTGTACGACAGCTGATCGGAAAGGTCTAGTGGGAATACTGGGCAAGTGCGATGTCACACCAGGACAGCAACTCCATGTAATGAAATGGCCGGGTATGCTACATGAGACAGTCTATCTGGCTTGCATAAACATGGGCGACACTGATCTAAGAGCTGCAAACCAGATATAGTAAGTATTTCTACTGATACAGAAACCTGTAATATCACATAATAATATCAGTGACCTTAATCTAATAGTATAGGCCCAGAGACATTATTAAGTAGCCCCACTGGAGAGAAAGCTACTGTTCCAGCAACGCAGAAAACCCAATACTACTGTAGCCCTTTCTCTAGGCCTAGTATTCTGGGATAACTGACTACAATAACAAGTAGACAGGTCATCCCATTCAAACCAGAGAAAGAGGAAGTCAAGAAACATACTGTATTCCCTGAAATTAAGCTTCTAATAAAGTCTCCCTGTGTGCAATTTGACATTAACTCTGCTCAGGGAAATTTGAACAAACTGGATAGGAACTAGTACAAACTGAGCCCTGATTGAGCCACTTGGTGCCCAGTCTTTGCCAGGCCTGTTATTCTCTTTTATTCCTGGAATTAACTTCTCAGTGGGAGTCTCTTGTCAAAGCCACAGCGGATACCGTAAATGTGCTCGAGGGCAGGAAAAAAAAAAGATTTTTCTAGGGTAGTGAAAGAATAAAATAGACTGTATTAATGGACCGCAATCAAAATTCTCATGCATTTTTAATTTAATTATTTTCACGTTGACATGTGCTCTCTAAGGTACTCGGAGGAAAAACTATTTAAATTTGCCTTCATTTCTAAAAGCGTTATTTGTAATAGGACAAGTTTAAGTATCATTAATGAACGGTTATTTTTTTTTTTTTTAATGTTTGCATATTAGTGTCAATGCAGTGACAGGATATTCCTTTTTTGGGAACTGTTTAAATATCTACTTGTAAAAGCACTTTCACCTGACAAGAAACATTAATTCACTGCGAGCATCCTATACAAAATGAGGATATGAAGGGATTCAATATTTAATATCTAATCACTGTCTCAAACTAATATTAATCTGGACTAAAAAAGACAATCGTTTTGAAACCAAAAGATCACGGTAGAAAAGGTAACTAAAAGACATCCAACTCTCCAGGATCAGGGTTGGAGATCTGTGGTCTAAAGCACAGCAAAAGAGCAATAAATATCAATTTGTCAACTTGTGTTGTACAGTATATGTGGTTATGCAGACAGATAAACAGGCCGATAGATATACTGTATACGGGACTGTAAATATCAATCAGCTCTCACTGTCTCACAAGACAAAAAAAAAACAGAGGCATCTAGACAAAAAGACCTCTTCTGCTCACAGATCCATACTGCATAAGTTAGCAGAACACAGCTGACTAACTGCTGAAATGCTTATATCGTATATATGAGTGTGTGTCTTACTGTACACGGAAAAGCTTTCAGAGGTAAGGTGTTTTAGGAGCAAGCAGGAGCCATGAATTATGGAAAAGCAAATATTAATTAGCTCTCAAACTTTTACAAAGCTGAACAGAAGACCCGTCTAACTAGGTTTTTAATTTTATATCATGTCACCTCCTTTCTTTTGCAAATCTTATAAGATCACTTATTGGCCATATACAATTTCTTGCATGAGGAATGTGTCTTTTCGCAGACCCCAGCTTGCTCTCCATGAGACACAGACAGGGAGAGAAGCTTGGGGTCAGACCGCAGGGTCAGCCATTTGGAGCAGTTGGGGTTAAGGGCCTTGCTCAGGTGCCCAACGGAGTAGGATTCCTCTGCCGGCCACGGGATTTGAACCAGCAACCTTCCAGCAACCTTCCAGCCTTAAATCACAGAGCCACCACACTGCCCCTATGTTTCCAATTTCATCATTAATATTGCCATTCCAACAGTTCATAGCCACTGCCTGCAAAATCTACTTTAAACCTGAATGGTGTTCCTTTTAAGACACACTAATACAGACAGGCAGACTGTTGGAAAAATCTCTGTCAAACGAGTCATTGAAAAGAAAGGGTGTGTTTAGTCAAGGTCAGCGTGTAGGAGAGTACCTGGTGCAAGGGGTCTTTTCTCATGTTCCTGCTGGCCAGAGGCTCATCGAAGGGGAACACCACGGAATAGTTTTTGGCATAGGACTCATGACTTCGTTCCCGAATCCAGCGGTTATTATCCGTGAGAGTATGATGGAACCGCCTGCAAAGAGACAGCAGAATGAAAGGTCACGGACCACACGGGCACCAAATTGATTCCATTTTTTTATTTTTTAAACAAGGAAACTACAGAATGTGACCAAACTCCGCGGGGAATAGCAGGAACTCAATTAAGCAGGAAGAAAAGCAACTGGAATTTAACACTTGGCTTGCAGAGCCAAAGCAAATTTCTATAGCCTAATTTTAGCAAATCCTTAAGAGGAAATGAAACTTCTAACTAGAAGACTTGCCCTACAGGTAGTTCTCTTATGATTCTGCTGCAGTTTACCCCCTGAATACAGTACATATGTGTTTTTACACAGACCAACAGCAACCAAAACAGAGAGTCTCTGTCTCTGGCCGCTGCGGAACAAAATCTAAAAAAAGCATTTTTTCTTCCGATTGTCTGGTGTTACTTTCCGTCTGTACAACCAAACAAAAAGTCCTGCTGCAGACTTAAAAATCATTTTAAAATAATTTTTACCAAGAACATTCTCCTCAATGTTGCACTGTTGAAGAAGGCAACAGGGTGTAGTGCTTTACTCACAATCTAGACCTGATGGAGCTGGGAATTCATTATTTGTCAAAACATCTCCTGGCTGAAAAGCAAATAATTTCCAGAGATTCGAGAAGAGCCCTGACAGGCAGGCATAGTAGTGCACACTGCCTTTTTGCAATTCATTTGATTAATTCAAACTTCAGCAGCTGAAAACTTAAAAAAAAAAAACACTTGAAGAACTCGCATGCAAAAACATCGCTACTACTTTAAGCTGGCAAAATCCAAACACCTCCTCCGTTTTCTTCATGCTTAAAAACTAATTTTATGCGCAGTGCGGCGCACGAGACTTTTTTTTTTCTTGCTGCTGGCTTGTCATGGGCTTTTCAGCAGAACAATTTCTGAACACCTACAGACTGCGGTAGAAGACACTCTCCCACTTGACAAGAACATCACCCGCCTCGGAGATTCTTACCGAAGAGGCGGTGAAAATCCAGCAACCTGCAAAACGCTGCATTTTTTAAAAAAAAATTCGCACCCCACTGCAGTGTGCACTCTGAAACAGGGCACTTTGCTGATGACTTTAAAAAAATAGGGACTAGACAGAACTAAGAAAATGATCAAAAATAGTTAAATTAAAGATGTATTGAAAGGAAGTGAGGGATCACAAATTAGGCTCTTGGAGTAATATAACCAAGCCTGATAAAAACTGTATGATAAATGTACCGCATTTATACAGTGTTTGCTCCCAGTAAAACCAGTGGCATATTTCCCTGGAAAACACTGAACACATTCCCTTTTGTTTCTGCACTGTAAGTGAAATTCAACCTTATGGTGGGTTTAAGCGCATAATTACTAGAAAATACCACAACATTTAAAATACTGCAAAATGCCAATCAGGGAAAAACGAGGCTTTCAAAAAAATAATGTTTCATTGGTCTTTCCTGAGAAAGTTCTGGAAAAAAGTGGGCCTGGTGTGAGTGTGTGTGGGTGTGTGTCCAGTCCAGGGTGTACCCCCACCTTGCGCCCGTTGCTCGCTGGGATAGGCTCTGGCTCCCCAGCAACCCCAAATGGGATACAGTGGTGAGAAAACAGATGGATGTCTTTCAAAATTGGTGAATGACTGAATAAGCACCTATTCCAATGCTGTTGGTAGCAGGAAATACCACATGACTGAGACATGACTTAGACACCCTCAAGGATAACAAATGTGTGGAAATACATTCCTTAAAAACCTGCAACTCTGAAACTGTATTTATTAGTGCATTCTGGCTTACTGCCTTCTCCCAGTAAGTCTATGACTCATTGTGTCAGTGAATACTGATTAAATTGCTGTTAATACTTTTACGTGCTGTTTTTTTTTAAGTTGGTACTTTTTTTTTTAAGAGCCACGCGTGTGGGAGACCTACCAAAATTCAAAATATTTTCAATTTTTTTATTCACCGTTTTATAAATGGACCAACTGTGATGACGTGACCTCACTCAAATGTGCTGCAGATATCTTTGCTTACAGGATAAGTTTCTTAGTTGCCGAAGGACAACATAATGAACCATTTTAACAAATGGGAAAAATACTGTCGATTCACCAAGAATTACTTCACCCATCTAACACTTGGATGGAATTCAATAAAGAAGTTGTGGCTCGATATTTATAGCATTTAGAATGAAGTTGCCTTTTATTTGAACTGTCAGTGAAGAATTCATCCTGGCTTCTATTAACATCTCCACTAATTACTGGATTAAGTCTGTTAATGAGGTCTCCGTTAATGTCTGTTACAAACTCTAAACCCAAAGTCACACATAGGGGAAATTTCTTACTGTGAGTTTTCTTGTAGTTCTTTTCTTATAAACATTACAGTGTCACCAAACAACTTGATAAAAAATAGTGTGACTTTCTGAAAAGCTTATTAAACAAGTTTAAACCTAGATTTATTCAAACTCAACAGCATGATAAGCCTTTTGCACCACTGAGACAGAACCAACCTTTTCTGAAATCCAAACACCAGCAACAAACTTCATCCACCTGGATAAGGATTCTCAAATAATGTTTTTTTTATAATAATGCAGAGGTACAGCGAGAGAAGATATCTTATTAAAGTTTCAAAAAGAGACAGAATCATTCTTTTTTTAGCTTCCTTAGTCATGTGCATCCTGAACTTTCGGATACTGGGTTCAGACCCAATATCACTCAAATTATTGGAGTATTCTACTGATGTTTTCTTTCAAAAGGACATAGGTGACTGCACAACTGAGAGTCTCCAGACCAGTAAGCAGTCCACAGTTCACTCTTAGTACAATCACAGTAACAACGCAAAGTACCAGCAATGACCCAGAAATTCCAGGAAATCTGTGAGTTTTAATTCATCTAGGGGACGTCAATGTGTGTGAATCTCCAAGAGGAAATGTTAAAAATGCAGCCAGGTGACGGGTACTTGTACTCGAAAGGAAGGAGCTTCTCGAAAGGCATCAAAAATTAAACAAAATGCATTTTTGATCAGCAAAAGAAAGACAGCAACCCCAGATCTGCACATTACTCATAAGCCCTTCTCTTTACCTCCAAGATCCCTCCCTTATGAGAGCCAAATCTCACAAGCGGCTGGAGTATCATCTTATTTAGTTTCAGCTGATAATCGAACCCTTGTTTCCAGTTTGATAAAGCACTCAGCCATGGCAAAGTCATGTCATTTGCCAAACTGCTCTATACCATACGGTGTCGAGGGAAGCCATCACCGGCAAGCAACGAGCACAAGGCAGGGTACATCCTGGACAGGACGCCAGTCCATCGCAGGGCCAGTGCAAGCCAATCATACATGGGGACAATTTGGAGGCCACGGTAAAGGCAGAGGGGGGAAATTTGGCCTGGACACCGGGATAACTCCCTACTCTTGTCCAGAAATGCCTAGGGATCTTTAATGACCCCTGAGAGTCAGGACCTCGGTTTAACATCTCATCCGAAAGACAGCACCCACTACAGTATAGTATCCCCTCCACTATACTGGGGCATGAGGACCCACACAGACTGCAGGGTGAGCGCCCCCCACTGGTCCCACTAACGGCTCTTCCAGCAGCAGCCTTAGTTTTCCCCAGGAGGTCTCCCATCCAGGTACTGACCAGGCCCACACCTGCTGAGCTCCAGTGAGTAGCCAGTTGAGAGCTGCAGGGTGATATGGCTACCGCCCGGCCATGTCAAAGTGCTTTATGAAATTGGCCCAGGCCGTCACAAAACTGCCAGGGAACAGAACATTTGAGATTTTTTTTTTTGCCTCCTCTCGAAGAGTTTTGGAAACCACACGTGGAGACCGAAATAGCACGGCAGATTCTGTGCCGGTGAAAAATGTCACTTGGGGGGGGGGCGGAATATGACTTCTTACTGAAGCCAATATAGACATGTATTGTGCTGCGCGTTGGAGGATAGACTGTCAGAGCTACATCCACCAAAATCCTCATTACATCCTAGCACAATTTCAACCCCTCACTATACAGAGGGACAGATCGGAAAGGGGGGAGCGAATATTTCAAAGTTAACATCTCCCGACCTGGCCCGAACTGTCACAAAACCA